ATGTATTAAGAAGTGTTATGTTTTTATGACGTGGTGACCCCTTTTTCATTATCAAGTGCCCATTTTTGTCTTTTGTTGCCTTGAAATATATTTTGTCAGATATAAGTATGACTACATCTGCTGTTCTGTGGATTTTATTTGCTTGGAAAATAATATTCTACCCTTTCACTTTGGTTCTGCCTTTGTCTCTGCATCTTAGATGTGTGTCGTAAAGGCAGCACATGCTTAGATTTTTTTTTTTTTTTTTGATCCAGGCTGCTACTCTCTGACTCTACTGGTGAAGTACATTTAGGGTTATTATTGATGTATGAAGATCTCCTAGAGCCATTTTATCTGTTCTTTTCTGGTAGCTCTCTGCCTCCACACAGGTTCTTTCTCTTTGTTAATGTGTTTGGGGGGGTTCCAAATTCTTTCCTCTGTTTCTTCCTTTTTTAAGCTATGTGTGTTAATTTTGGAAATTTTTTTGTGTGTTTACCATTTGGTTTATTAAAAATAATATTGAATATATGAGTATATTTCTTTCACTTTTTTTTTGTTGTTACTCCTCACCCACGTGTATTTTTCCATTCCTTTTATTTTACATAGAGTGGAAGGGGGGAAGGAGGGAGGAGAGATAGAAACGTCCATGTGAAAGGACACATTGATTAATTGCCTCCCACACAGCACTGAACTGAGCTGGGGATCAAACCTGCAACCCTAGTGTGTGTCCTTGACTGGAATCGAACCTGTGACCCTCTGATCGGTGGAACGATGCTCTAACCACAGAGTCAAACCTGCCAGATATATTTCTTCCTTTTTTTTAAATCCTCACACGAGTACATTTTTAAATTTATCTTCAGATAGAGTGGAAGGGTGGGAGGGAGGGGGAGAGTGAGAGAGAGACAGTGAAAGAGAAATATCGATGAGAGAGCCACACATCGACTGGTTGCCTCTCGCAGGACCCCAACCAGGGCCGGGAATGAATCACAACCTAAGTACGTGCATTCGACCCGAATCGAAAGAGACTCTTTGAGCCTAACTGGCCAGGGCAGGGATATTTTTCTTGAGTGCAGCTGATCTCCATCCTTTTTTGGCACTTCAGGCCTTCCTCCTCCACTTTGACGTTTTCGTTGTCGCAAATTATCCCTGTCTGTGCTGTAAGCTTTTGGGAATGTTACGATTAGTGTTAGGACCTTATGCTCTTTGTTTTAAGTAGAACTCCCTTGAGTATTTCCTGCAATGAAGGTTTTCTGGTGATAAAATTCCTCAGCTTCTGTATATCTAGAAAAGTGTTTCCCCTCGTATTTAAAGGATAACTTTGCTGGGTATATTATTCTTGGCTGACCATATCACTTTTTCTGTCATTTGAATATTTGGTTCCACTATTTTCTAGCTTGTAGAGTTTTTGTTGAGAAGTCAGATGATATTCTGATGTTTTGTTTTGTTTTTTTGTGGGTCACTTTTCCCTGACTTCTTTGATAATATTTTCTTCCTCATTAACTTTTGACAGTGTTAATACAATGTGCCTTTCTGAGGGCCTCCTTGTATTTAGGTAACGAGGTGTTATGTGTCCTTTTTGTATTTGACAATTAGTTCTATCCACAGGTTTGGGAAGTTCTCATCCACTGCTTGTTTTAATAGGCTCTCCATTCCTTTGCCCCTCTCTTCTTCCTCTTGGTATGCCTATAATTCTCATGTTGGTTTTTCTGATGGAATCTGATAGTTTCTGTAGAGCTTGTTTATTTTTAAAAATTTTTTTTATTGATTTATTTAGAGAGAGAGAGAGAGAAATTTCGATCAGCTGCCTCTTGCACACCCCTACTGGGGATCGAGCCCACAACCCGGCATATGTCTTGATCAGAAATGAAACTGGGAACTCTCAATTTATGGGACAGTGGTCAATCCACTAAGCCACATTGGAAGGGACTTTTTTTTTTTTACATCTTTATCCTCACCTGAGAACATTTTTACAATTATCTTCAGATAGAGGAGGAGGGAGAGAGAGAGAGAGAGAAACATCGATTTGAGAGAGACACAGCGAGTGCTCGCCAACTACATGACTCCAACAGGGGCTGGGGACAAACTGCTACCAAGGTACATGCTCTTGGCGGGACCCAAACCTGGGACTCTCTGGTCTGCAGGCCGATGCTCTAACCACTGATCCAAACCAGCCAGGGCAGGGCCTTTTTTTTTTAATGCCCGCCATCATTTCTAGATTCTTGTCTTTGATGTTGATAATTGTTTCCTCCAACTGGTTGACTTGTTTTCCTATTCTCAGTAGTTCACTCCTAATCTTCTTAATTACGTGTTTCAGTTTCAGAATTTCTGATTGGTTTTGTTTTCAAGTTTTGATTTTTTTGGTATAGTACTCATTTTGATCATAACGTGTTTTCCGAGTGAATTTAATCATCTGAGTATTCTTGCATCTCACTAAGTGTTTTCTGAACTCAGTCTAGATTCGCTGTCATGTATGTGACATGTTTCCATGTGTTGCAGCTTCTCTCCTAGACATTGTTCATTTTGTTTCTGAGCTTCCTCATTACTGTGTTTATTCATGGTATCTGCTGGTCTCCACTGTCTAGACATATGTTACTGACATTTCTCTAGCAGCTTTCTCTGCAGAGGACTTTCTATTTTATAGTAGGGGGCGCTGAATCACCAAATTTTGAACTCTTTGGCTTCCCAGGGTTGACCTGTTTTCATCAGGTACTACTGCCATGGTGCTTGGTGTTGGGGTTGTTTTGCTGTCACTGTAATGGTGACCCTGACCCTCCCTGAGGTTCCCCCATACACCCTACCTGGGCATCAATCACGGAGGGAAACATAGATTCTGAGATGCAGTAGCTCTCATTTTCTCAGCTACTGTGCTCCTCGACCTGACACCACAGGCATCTGGAAGTGCGTTTTGGGAGTCCTAGAGGAGGTAGGGCTCTGTGGCTTCCTTTCTTTGTCTGAAACACCTCCCCCCGATAGTTGACTCCCAGGGCACAGCCATTATGTTCTGTTTCTGCCCTGACGTCAGTAACGGGCTCAGCTGCTGTTTGCCAGGCTCACCCTGCTGGAGAGCCCACTGAGACTTCCTTCCTCCGGCCACAGAGGCATCTGCTACCAGCAGCTTCTTGCCGTCTCTGATCCGAGCTGCTCGCCAGCTCCCGGCCACAGGGCCGCATTTGTGATTGAGTGACATCTGTGGCCGCATATGTGGCCATTGAGCTCTCCTCACTTCTTGCCTCCCCTTTTATCCCACTTGGCTACCTTTAGATGCTCCGAACCACTGTTCTCTCAGGCTTCTACACTGAGCAGGGACTCCTCTGTTGAGTTATCGTTGATTAATTGTTGAAGTCGTGGGGAGAAGCCAAGATGATTTCTCTCATTGTCATTCCTCTGACGAGACTCCCCGCCTCTTGAACTAATCATTTTTTATATAAGCCATCTACTTCTTTTCACTGTTGTGTGTCAGTCCACTTGACGTGCAAAGTAGTCAGTGTGCAGCTGTCCCATGACACCCTCGGGTTCTTTCTTTTTTTAACAATTTTTTTCTTTATTGATTTTGGAGAGAGAAAGGGAGATGGAGAGAGAAGCATCGATGAGAGAGAACATAAATTGGCCACCTCTGGCATACAGTTCACTGGGAATCTGGTCAATAACCTGAGCACATGTCCTGACAGGGAATTGAAGTGGTGACCTCTTGGTGCATGGGTCGACGCTCGACCACTGAGCCACACTGGCCAGTCTAGGTTCTGTTTCTTATTCTACATCATTGTTGGCTTCCATATATTGAAACATTTAATGAACTGTGTACAAGTTTATTATTTCTACATATTTGCTTTGGGAGTACTCAGAATGTAATTTGGTCAATAATTGCTGGTAAGGTCAATGTACATCTACCTGAGTGTCACGAATGTGAAACTTTGTCATATCTTTCAGCTGTCTTATCTGAGGACAACCAGGCCTTTGTGCCAAAGCCAAAGCTGGAAGATTTATTCCCTGACATAATACTGGTAAGATATGAAATAATACTGGTAAAATATGGGAGATATGGCTTTTTATAGTGTACACTTAGTGAGAGCCTTGGGATTTGAGGAAGAATGTATGATGAGAAGGTGTGATAATATGGACAGAAGTAACCTGGGAATGTTGTCAAAGATATTACACATTTGGGAATGCCCCCAGTTTCGTCAGTTACATCTGCAGATCTGTGTCTTTCTAAACTTGAAGACCAAAAACAATGTGTTACTGTCATATAATATATCAGAAATAGGGAAAATCTGGAACTCACATCAGCAATGTTGCAAATAATACTAGTTTGCAGTGTTGTGTGGAATTAAACTTTCAGTCAGTCATTTCTGAAATTTAGTGATTTATCATGCATATATAAGATTTCAATATGATCAGTTTAGTAACTCCTTTATTTGGAATCATTATAGTACCATGAATAATGTTTTTTTGAAACAAATGTCTAATTTTTTAAAATGTAGGAGTGTTTTTTATACACCATCATGGTTTAATAGTGTTACAGAATCATTATTTGAGAATAAGTGTATATGTTTAAGGAAATTATAGCTGTCACTAAAGGCCTTTCTGTCTTCAATGATTTCCAGAGTGTATATAATGAAGACAGAAGTTATCAATGCAACGCACATTGGAAAAATGTTAACCAAGAGTCAAATCCTAATAAACATCAGAAAACTCAGCTTCCAGAGAACCATTATAAGGATGGAAAACTCTTTGACCAAATGTCAAATCCAAATATGCATCAGGTTATTCATTCAGTGGAGAAAACAAGCAAACGAAGTAAATGTGACAAATCTTTGCAGCAATCTTCACATCACAATGAACGACAGAATATTCATACCAGGGAGAGAGCTTACAAAGGTAATACGTGCAGAAGAGTCTTCAGTCCAATGTTCAGTCTAAATAGACTTATAGAAAGCCATACAGAGGAAAAACGTTATAAATGTAATAAATGTGGTAAAATGTTTAAGTCCTCTAGATATATTCGTGTACATGACAGAACTCATATGGGGGAGAAGCCTTATAAATGTAGAGAATGTGGCAAAGCTTTTAAAGAGTCCTCATCCCTTACTGTCCATCATAAAATTCATACTGAAGAGAAGCCTCATAAATGCAAAGAATGTGACAAAGCCTTTAGGAGTTCTTCACACCTTAATCGCCATCACAGAATTCATACTGGAGAGAAACCTTACCAATGTGGTAAATGTGGCAGAACTTTTCAGTGCTCCTCATTCATTAATCAGCTTCCGGTCATTCACACCGAGGAGAAACCGTACAAATGTAAAGAATGTCGCAAAGCGTTTAGCCAGTCCTCAAACTTTATTGCACATCAGAGAATTCATACAGTAGAGAAGCGTCATAAATGCAATGTATGTGGCAAAGCTTTTGGGAGGTCTTCTAACCTTAAAATCCATCAGAAAATTCATACTGGAGAGAAGCCTCATAAATGCAAAGAATGTGGCAAAGCATTTGGGAGGTCTTCACACCTTCAGAGCCATCAGAAAATTCATACTGGAGAGAAGCCTTATAAATGCAAAGAATGTGGCAAAGCCTTTGTGAGGTCTTCAGTCCTTAAAAGCCATCAGAAAATTCATACTGGAGAAAAGCCTCATAAATGCAAAGTATGTGGCAAAGCCTTTAGGAGTTCCTCACACCTTAAACGCCATCAGAGAATTCATACTGGAGAGAAACCTTACCAATGTGGCAAAGATGCTAGGTGCTGCTCAGATATTAATCAGCATCAGATCATTCACACGGAGGACAAACCGTACAAATGTAAAGAATGTGGCAAAGCCTTCAGCCAGTCCTCAAACCTTACTGCACATCAGAGAATTCATACCGGAGAGAAGCCTTATAAATGCAATGAATGTGACAAAGCCTTTGGGAGCTCTTCAAACCTTAAAAGCCATCAGAGAATTCATACTGGAGAAAAGCCTTATAAATGCAAACAATGTGGCAAAGCCTTTAGGAGTTCCTCACACCTTTATCGCTATCACAGAATTCATACTGGAGAAAGACTTTATCAATGTGGTAAATGTGCCAAAGCTTTTAGGTGCTGCTCAGATGTTAATTCCTCAAACCTTAGCGAACATCGTAGTGTTCATTCTAGAGAGAAGCCATATCATTGTATTGAATGTGGGAAAGCCTTTAGGCAATCCTCACACCTTTCTGCACATCAGAGAATTCATCATGGAGATAGTCCTTCTGAATGTACATAATGTGACAGAGCCTTAACGAGTGTTCAAAACGTATGGGACATTAGAAAAGTTCATACCGGAGATATTTTACAGATTAAGGAGTGTGGTAAAGTCTTTTACCGGCACACAAAATATATACTGGAGAGAAGCTTTAGGTATGTGTATAATTTAGCAAATCGTTTAAACACCATTCATGTCTCATTCTATATGACACAGTTCATGCTGGAGAGAGACATAGATGTCAGAATGTGCTAAAGCCTCTCATTGGCAGTGGAATCTTACCACACATCAGACACTTCATTCTAGAGAGAAGTCTTACAAGTGTCGAAAGTGTAGGAAAGCCTTTATCAGCCCCTCAGAAGTTGCTAAACTTCAGAGAATTCGCTGTAATGCACATGTTTCAAATGTACCGAATGTGGCAAAGCCTTTAATCACTTTATGATTAACTCATTAGATCATTCCCAGTGGAGAAATACTGTACAGATTTAAGTATTTTGCAAAACTTTGTTTTCCCATTTATACCTTAGTAATCATAAAATAGCTCATTCTCGACAGGAGCTTTATGCATGTGGAAAATGTGGCCAAACTTTTATAACTGATATCCTACATGGCATGAGAGAAATTATATTGCAGAGAAGACTTTCATATGTAAACCATGTATCAAAACTTTTAAATGACATTCATGCCTTACTGTATATGAGAACATAATACATACTGGGGAGGAACTTAATAAATGCTCTACCACATCGATGTTTCTCTCTGTCTCTCTCTCGCAGAAATTTATGCAGGAAACATCTGAATGTAGAAAGCAAATATCAATGGACATAAAGGGACAATTGACCCTGTGTTATTTGTATTCTTTGTTTTTATTGGGTTGTAGGAATTTGTCAAATATTAAGGATATGAGACCCTTACAAGATCTGTGATTTACAATTATTTTCTCCCATTTGAGAGATTGTACTTTTACTTTTGTGATAACGTCCGTGGGCGCAAAAGCATAAATTTTGATGAAGATTAATTTCTTATTTCATCATTGACTTTTATATTGTTGTTGTAGTCGGCCCTCTTTTATCTTGGTTAATCAGTTCCCGACTTTACAGCAATAAATGTATTTCTGCGAAGCAGGATTATTTACTTATAAATTGAATATTTTTGCAGTTAGAGCATAGAAACCTGTTTACGATCTTCTAAATATCTTTTTAAACATTATTTGAACCCTCTGAAAATGAAATAACATCAGTCACCATTAAACTTATATCACCCAATATATTAGAGAAAATAAAACATATTAGACATTACAAATATCACATAATTATGATTGTACATTTAATTACATACACACACACAGTTATTACCCACAACCACTAACCTATAAAAATAGTGAAACCTGTTCGATGATGAATCAACAAAACGAGATGTACTGCATAGCAAAGAAGAGCAATGTTACTGCTGCCCTGAAGGGACAACCTCAGTAGGAGAGTCTTCAGGTGGTGCAGTATCTTCAGCAGGTGCATTGTTGTCTTTTTCCGCTGAAGGAGCACTAGGAATTGGCAGTGGGCGTGATAGGTAGTTGTTGGCACTGTCTTTTCATATGTGTGAGGTGGCTTTTGTGGGGTTCTGTTGGTCCATCAAGTGCATTCCAGAACCTCAAGCTTGTGTCATTTGTGGGTTTTATTCCCCAGTCATGTCCTGTACCACCTTAATAGTTTTCACGGCTTGCGAGAGTAGCTCAAATGCAAGGCCAACTTGTCCTGTCTCCCAGGATCCTCTGGCTGCTCCTCCTCCTCCTCACTCACAGACTTAGTCGTCTCCAGCAGCTCATCCACGTCATCGCGGGTCATATCCGCAAAACCTTCTCTCAGCATCCGGACTAGCCTAACTGCCTTATCCACTGCCGAATTGCTTATATCCTCTGGGGTGAATCCTCTGTAGTCGTGGACAGTTTCAGGCCACAACATCTTCCAGCTGCCCTTCACGGACTCCGCCTTTATATCCTTTAACGCGACCTGGATGTTCTTCAGACAGGTCGCGATGGTATACTGCCGCCAGTACTCCTTCAGCAAGAAGTGCTCCTCAAGGTTCATGCCTTCGACGAGGTGCTGCAGGGTGTATCGCGTATACAGGGCCTTGGATGCACGAATAACACCTTGATCCATGGGCTAGATCAGCAAAGTGATTTTAGGAGGAAGGAACTTGATCCGCAGACCGTTGTAGGATAGGCCTTGTGCGTGACCTCCAGCATTGTCCATGAGGAGAAGGACATTAAACTCGGGTCCCTTCTCCGCGAGATACAGCTTGACTTGGGGGATGAAGCACTCGTGGAACCAGAACAGTGACAGCTGCTTGGTGATCCAGCCCTGTCATTGTGCATCCAGTGCACTTGCAGCAGGTTCTTGTTTTTATTCTCAGGGCCCTAGGGTTCTTGGCCTTGTAGATAAGGGCAGGCTTGAGCAAAAATCGCTCAGCATTTCCACACATATCTAAAAGGTTTGAGCTGGTGAAGATCACATCCACAATGCAAGGCCAGTGTAGCGCAAACTAGCTTTATTGGATATACCTGGGTGCAGGCGGACCAAGCCATAAAGAGCTGAGCATCAGCATTGTTTGTGTTTTGCCTTATATAGGTACAAACTACAGAAACTACAAAAAAAAAACTACATTTAAAAAAAATTTTTTCTTGGCGCTGCTTTTTGGTGCCAGAACAAGCTGTCTCAGAGGTAAGGGAGGAATCTGCTTCAGCAGAGGTCAGGGCCATCATTAATCTCTTTCTCTTTATGGTCCCTCCAGGTTTTCCAGTGCCACCATTAAACCCTTATGTTTCTGTTCTCTCAGGGTTTCAGTCCCAGGGTTTTTTTTTAGAAAACGGCTTGGGTGTTACACAGATATAACCGTTCAGAATAGAGTTTAATTTTGTTAAAACCTTATTAACCCTTTCAATAATGATAATGACACGATTCTTCTACGCCTTGAAACCATGGACTTTGGTCTCATCCTTGAAAATGAACGTACGGGAAGGCATTCTGCTTCAGAACGGTCCTGTTTCGTCCATATTGAACACCTGTTCTGGGTGATACTCGCCCTCAAGAATCTTCTGGAACATGTTCATGCAGTCCTCTGGTGCAGGCTGGTAAGCAGATGCAGCTTGTCTGTGGAGAACAGCACTCTTCAGATGATACCTCTTCTGGAACTTCTCAAACCAATCCTTGCTTGTCATGAAATCCATGAACTTGCAGAAGAAGGTCCTGGTTGAGGTTCATCCACTGTAAAGCGCTGATAGAGCTGCCTCGCCTTCTCCCGGGTGACCAGCGAACCCAACGGAATGTTTTTCTTGCATCTGTCGCTGATCCAAACGGCTAGGACAGACTCCGTTTTCACTATGAACTTATTATGACTCCTCACGACGTTCTTTGTTTTCTTGTTGAGACAGTAGCCGTTGCACGAATGTTCTTTTCATCTATACGGATGGAGGGAACAGTAGACTCATTCAAGTCTTAATAGCAGGCAACCGCCATGGTTTTCTTGCCATCCTTGATCATATCCAAGAGTTTCACCTTCTCCTAGATGGTAAGCATCTTCCTTCGGTGCTTAGTTTCATCGTCAGAAGGTTTAGAAGAAGAAGCATGTTTAGGAGCCTTGTGGGGCTTAGATAAAACTTCTCAGAAATCACAAACACTTACAAGAGCAAAGATGCTTCTGATGTGTAGTGACTTGCATGAGGCTGAGCCAATCAATGGCCAGACTAGGAAGAGGGTAGGATAGCGAATCAGTGAAAAACACACTCTGATTGGCTTGGTTTCACCATACCCGATTTTTTGGAAAAAAGTTCTTGCCCACACACAGGAGTGGTCGAGTGGTTGCATCTGGCGTTGAAGGATTTCTGGTGGTGCTCAAATACAAAGGTCTACAATCCATACGTACAGTAATTTTTCATTGTAGTACAGGGGTGTATAATTGACTCAGACAGCTGCGCACAAGCTGTATCATTTTCACTGTCTAGATCAAGTTATTAATGAATATATTTGAAGAAACTGCGATAGAGTGAAGCCGTGAAAGTCTAATCGAGAAGTGGAGAGGGACAACTGTATACATCTAAAAATCTACCAGCAAATTCAAGGTCATAAAGATTTAACCCTATGTTTTTATTTAAGAGATGTGCATGTTAAGTTATTACACTTAGCTTCCATGTAGCTACTTTGATTTGGCTAAATTGTAACCACTTTTATTTAAAACACCTGCTGAATGAGGGTCCCTAACTGAACACCACGGGTTTTTTTGAGATAGATGTGCACTAAATAAAAATACTCACTGTTAAAAAGTCAGATTCATCACACATTTAGAGTTTTAAAAATTCTTATTGAATGCATTGGAGTGACATTGGTTAATAAAATTGTATGAGTTTCAAGTGTACTGTTGTATATGACATTATCGCAATATTGTCATATGCAATATGCGTGTTGTGTGTGTGTGTGTGTGTTTGTTTTCCCTCACCCGAGGACATTTTTTTTTTTTATCCTCACCTGAGGATATTTTTCCATTTTTTTGTACAGATAGAGAGGGAGGGAGAGAGGAAGGGAGAGAGAGTGAGAAACATCGACGTGAAGGGACACATCGAGTGGCTGCCACCCGCACGACCAACCAGGGCCGGGGACAAACTGCAACTGAGGTACATGCCCTTAGCGGGAACCGAACCCCGGTCTCTCTGGACCGCAGGCCGACGCTATAACCGCTGAGCCAAACTGGCCAGGGCCCGAGGACATTTTTTGATATTTTCTTCAGATACAGTGGGAGGGAGAGAGAGAAACATCAACTTGAAAGGGACACATCGACTTGTTGCCACCCACACGACCCAACCAGGGCTGGGGACAAACTGCAACCAAGGTACTTGCCCTTATGGGAACCAAACCCAAGTCTCCCGGGTCACAGGCTGACGCTCTAATCGCAGAGTCAAACCGGCCAGGGTGTGTTTACCATGAGAAGTCAAGTGTCTTTCCATTCACATTTATCCTCCCCTTACCCTTTTCTGCGTGTCCACACCCCGAGTTACCTCTGCTAATTACCTTTATACTTTCTTTGCCTATATGGGGATTTATTGTTTTTACTTTACCCTTCTGTATACATTTTAAACCAAATTATGTGAATAAAGAAAAACTTCTCTATCACATAGTTTTAACTCTGAACTTTCCACTGTATTACAAATGGTAAATATTTAATGAGTTTGAAAAGTCCTGACCTTTTTACTTAACATGAAACGCTGTCTTTTTTGTATTTTTTTTTTTTTTTTTTATCCTCACCCGAGGACATTTTTCCATTTTTTGCACAGATAGAGTGGGAGGGAGAGAGAGGAAGAGAGAGAGAGAGAGGGAAACATCGACGTGAAAGGGACACATCGAGTGGCTGCCACCCGCACGACCAACCAGGGCCGGGGACAAACTGCAACCGAGGTACATGCCCTTAGCGGGAACCGAACCCGGGTCTCTCTGGACCGCAGGTGGACGCTCTAACCGCTGAGCCAAACTGGCCAGGGCTGAAACGCTGTCTTAAAATCAGGCAAAGAATGCTGCTTCCATCGGTCTTTTCTATGGGTTCTTGGGCCTTTGTGAACATGAACGCATCACTGTGTGCTGTCTCTATAAGCTGGTTTATATGGTGCTGCAGGGGAATCCCGATGGGGCCCCTACACCGGCCGTATAGTATAGACCACCTTGCTGATGGTGCAGAGTTTCGTGCCCATCTCTAAGCTCCGCCCTTTCCCAGGATGATCACCTAAAAAGAACCTCATTTTGTGTTCCATGTCACTGCCTCATGCAGAGACGTGGCGAGGATGTTTACTTTCCTGTGTGAAAAATAAAAGCAAATGGCGCTGGTTTCCGAATTTTCAGTAGCATCATTTATAGCATTAATTTTTAACTTGAAATGTGGAAGTTAATGTCTACTATTGTCTTTGTGGTATAGATTCTGAAGATGGTCCTGGAAGGTGTTGGGTTAACCAGAGCAAATCTGTACATGCACAAAAATTTGAAAACTGTTCTTTGCAAGAAGGGGTAGCCTATTTTCAGACCTAATGCAAGTTTTGACATTTCAAAGTGCTTTTACCTAATACTTCACTGACCTTTCTATTATTTTTATTACTTTTTTTTATTATGTATTTGTTTAGAGAGAGAGGAAGGTTGAGGGGGAGAGAGATGGAAACATCCATGAGAGAGCATCAACTGGCCAGATCCTGCATACCCTCCACTGGGGATGGGGCCCAGAAACGCGGCATGTGCCCTGACTGGAAATCGAACCAGCGACTGAGCCACACTGGGTGGGCATTGTTGATACTTTTGTGTCTTGAAAATGTATGTAAAGTTTCCTGGGTTGCTTGGCTCAGCAGTCAGAGAGTTGTCCTGAGTACCAATGAGTCACAGGTTGCATTTTGATCAAGGGCAGTACCTCACATGTGGTTCATCCCCAGCATTGAGGCAGCCAATCCATGTGTCTCTCTCACATCGATGTTTTTCTTTCTCTCACCCTCCCGCCCATTCTATCTGAACATAAGTGAAAAAAAAAAAAATACCCTCGTTGGAGGATTAAAAATAAAAAGCACATAAGGTAATGACTGGGACAATGTCCGTGCTCCATAAACAGGAAGAAAGAGTTCCTTTAGGTTTATGGTTCCATGAAAGAACTATGACACAAGTTTGGGAACCAATATCTTTCCAGGTGTGCACCTGCTATTATCAGGTGCTTGAAAGTCAAGTGTGAGGAGGTCAACAAGCACACAATGAAGTAAATGGAAATAGAGTGATGAAAATGAATAGAGGGACCACGGATTGCGGGTGTATTTTATAACAGGGTGACAATCTCCATTGTCAAGTGCCTGGGGGCTGTTCTGCCACTTCTTCGTGAGGGACATAGACATTCAGAATTAATATATGTAGGGGATGAAGTGAGGTTTTGGTACTGTTAACGTGGGAACTAACACAAAGTGTCCTCTACCTAAAAATTTTTCCCATCCCCAAATAATAAATGTATGTTTTTTAAATCAGTGATGTTGTTTTCCACTGCACATGATACCCTATGACAATGGTCCTGACTTTAAAAGTGAAAGAACTGATTTGAAGGCATTTAAAGAATAACTGGGGGACTTCCGGTCAAGATGCGGCATAGGTAAATGCGGTATCGCGTACTCCCAAAACCACATCAAAGTACCAACTAAACTACACAACAATCATTCAAA